ATTCGATTTAGAGCGCTCTGACACCGGCGGATGATGGATCGGTTTTTGTCAATAAGAGAACATTATTGCAAAGAAGCAGCAGTCTTCAGACGTTGGTGAATCTCTGTGCTCATGATGTAAACCAGTTCGGAAGCAGAGCATTTTGACTATAAATCTAAATAGAAAGCATAATATTACTTTTTTATACAGATCTTAACACATTCTGTCAGTGGATTGAAGATGATTCTATGCTCCTCACTTTGCCTCTGTAAATGAGGAAAGGATCATCATTCGGTCGGTCATCAAAGTGCATTAAATTAAAATGCTGTTTAACTATAATTATGCATAATGCCCATATCCTTGAAAAGAAAAACAGCGTTTAATCTATTGATTTACTGTATTGATTGGTTATTACCTCAGTGAAATGGACACTGTGTGTTCCTTCAGCATGGAAAACTTTTACCTCGATTTTAGGCGATTATTACTGTGCCCATCATTAAGTGCTGAATTTAGTGTATTGACTGGGGACGGAGCGATTCCTTATCAATTTCGAAACCTTCGCGACTATGCAAGACTTGAAATTATTCATTCTATATTTGGACCGTGTTTCATTTTCGACATGTTTACCATGTAAACTAGTCTAATTGATGGAAATGCTAGGCTCGGGGGGGGGGGGGTCAGTCACTGTTTCCATTCGATTAATATTGTCAGCCGTTGTTTGTAATAGTTTTTATGTAATTTTCAAGGTACACAGTTAAGCGTAGCCTTTTACATGATCCATTTAAAAAATTAAAGTGAATCAGTCTGAAATGAGAACTGACTGTTGCCATAGCGGTTTTCAGTGCTTTCAGTAAATCTGACGAAACTACTGGAGCCTGTTGGAAATAAATCTGGCCGTCGTTTCTGTGAAGACTCTGATAAGCATTTGCCGACAAGGTGAAGAAATGCAATTCAGCCGGATGATCTGTGCTTAATGTACTTCGTAATTGTACTAATGTGTAAATTTCCATATACGAAATAATTATCGTCGGTTTTCTGTGCCACCCTTTCGGTGGGGTTCAGTTATTGTCACATAACGGATACAAACTTTGTATTGAATGCTACTTTTTATGGAGTTTTGAATGTTTATTTTTTTAAGTGGGCCCGTTGATGGTGTGGAAAAGTTGCCATATAATCTGGCGGCGCTTAATTGGCAGCTCCAGCAGCAGCGCAACGCATCGATCGCCCCCGTTGCAAAACCATGCGGCATTGACCCCATTGAAGTGCTGAAAGAACGGGAGAACAGGTGAAAATAAAACGTCGTTTTGTGTTTACCATGTGACCGTTATTGATATTCAGAATTGCCAATCGCATCGGTCATCGCATCAAAGAGTTGAAGAATTTCATTTTGACAATCGATCCGGAGCTGCGCATCAAAGCTGAAATCGAACTCAGGTCGCTGCGATTGCTTAACTTGCAAAAACAGGTATCCACGCACTTTCGATCCTTTTTTTCGCATTAGAGCTAGTAACTTTGCTCTTATTGCTGCTGATGTATATGAAGTGATATTGGACGTAGCTGT